CACGCCCCCTCCCCCCACGGTTTCAACAATACTTGGGCCCTGGCTGGTTTGGCTCAGTGGATAGAGAGCATCAGCCTGTGGACTGAAGGGTCCCAGGTTCAATTCCAGTCAAGGGCACATGCCCAAGTTGTGGGCTCGATCCCCAGTAGGGGGCATGCAGAAGGCAGCCGATCAGTGATTCTCTCTCATCATTGATATTTCTATTTCTCCCTCTCCCTTCCTCTCTGAAATCAATTAAAAATATATTTAAAAAAAAACAAAACAGTACTTAGGAGGCAAGCTGTCTCCGGAAGCCCTGCCCCAAGAGGCCCTATTTCTCCCAGGCCCTACGGCGTCGGGAGACCTTCAGTCTAGTAATTTGCTTTGGGGTTCAACCGGAAGAGCGAGGACTGGGGCTGCTGAAGGACTCCAAGCTCCCCAAAACTCAGACAGCCAGATTCGCCCCCTGGGGAGGGGGACAGGGACTGGCTGGGGCCCCTCACCTGCTCCCGGGATGGGTAGTAAGAAGCACAGATGACCCGCCGCAGCCGGCTGACGTAGCTTCCAAACAGGGTGACGAAGAAGCAGAGGCCGTACATGATGCCTGGGGGCAGTGGGCACAGCAGCCTCTGCCGGCGGGTGCAGGTGCCAGCCACACCCCCTCCTCAGTCTGCACCCCTCATGCCCCGCGTGGGGCCTACGTCACACCCCGTGCTCAGGGGGGCGGCTGTTACCGATGACGATGTAGCCAGTGGTGTTGGGCTCCGAGGGGTGCAGGGCGCAGCGCCCTGACAGGACCGTGACGTTGCCTTGCTGCAGGACATCGAAGGCCGACACCAGGTCGCGGTAAATGCTCCCGGTATAGCCACTGCCTTCCACGGTGATGGATACCAGCACGGGGCCTGGCACAGAGACCTGTGTGAGGTGCGCTGTGGCAGCCGCCTGCTCCCCACACAGGAAGGCCACACCTTCCCGAGGGCAGAGCGGGGCAGGTCTTAGGGACGGCCCAGCACCCTCAGCACCTGGCCTTTGATGCACCTGGCACCTGGCACTGGCTCCCCGGTGCAGAGTTGGCTGGCACTGGTGCCTGGTCTGCTCACCCAGGCCACCAGATCTGAGGTGACCTTAATGGTCAGTGAGTCCACCCCCCACCCCCACTGCTGCCGATGCATTTGAGTTAAAGCGCCTACTAAGCGCTGGCCATGTCATGGGCGCGGACTAAGCGCGTTATTGACTGTCGGGTGTTTTTACTCTCGTTGTTGGCCCTCTGGTCACAGCATTAGACTCCTTGTGCGCCATGGCTCTCCACACACCCAGTCAGCCATCTGCCAGCAGCCAACGCTCATGGTCTCATTTCCTCCTTAGAGGGACCCAGCCAGGTTGCTGCATTACTGCCCTGCTGTGCAGGTGAGGAGGCTGACGCTCTGGGAAGTTAAGCAACTTGCTCAAGGTTCCCACCTCGTAAAGAGCGGAGCTGGGATTCGAACCCAGGCCATGTGACTGGGGAACCTGTGAGTTTAACTACTCGGTCATGGTGTAACCTTGACCTGGACACAGGGTTTACCCGGCAGAGGGTAGAGTTGGAAGAGGAGCAAAGTCAGAGGCTGGTGAGTAACAGTGATGACGGGGTGGGGTGGGGGGCTGAGGGGGAGGGCTCAGGCAAACCCCCAGGATGGTGGGGAGGATGCAGGAGCCGGCCGAGGGGGCTGAGGGGGGACGTGGAGGTTCAGGCGCTCACTGCGGGCCACCATCTCCCCCTGCAGGTGGTGCCGGGCCAGGTCCAGCACCCAGAAGACCGCGTAGTCCAGGAAGATGAGGAGCAGCGTGATGAGGAGTTGCCGGAGAAGGTGGGAGATCGCCAGGAGGTAAAAAAGCTGCTCCCACCGGGACAGGTAGAGGGAGCCTGGGGAGGGGAGGGGAGGACGGGTGGGGCGGCTGCCCCAGCTCCCTCACCCCACAGACTCCAGACCTGGAGGGACCTCTCTCCTGGGGAGGCCTCCTGCCCTGGAGGGGGCTGGAGCCTGTGTGCTCATCTGGAAGGTGTGGTCGCTGCGAGGACCCCTGGGCAGGGGGGAAGCCCTCTTCACGGCCAGGGCTCCGGAGCTGGAGCGGAGGCCTAGACGCTGCACCTGGGCCTGGTGGCCCATTTCCAGTCTCCGGGAACCCTCCTTCCTGGGGAACCCCTGACCCCCACACTCAACTCCCTGCGTCACAGACAGCCCCCAAGTTGCATCTCCTCCGTATTACCACACTCACACTTCCTGCCCACCCCCAAAGCCTCCCCCCTCACTTTTCTTGCTCCATGTCCGCTCCCCGCCTTCCTCTCTGTCCTGAGGTCCAGGTGCTCCTAGCAGCATCTTCTGCCCCTCCTCTGTCTGCGGGCTATGAGGAGCCCTCCTTCCCCCTCCACACTGAGGGCTCCCCAAGGACAGAGCGCTGTCTCCCCCGAGCCTGAAATTGCCTGAAGCTCTGGGTTGTCCCTCCTCACTCGGGCCCTGCCCCAAGCCCAGCCTGTGCGTGGGGTTCAAGGTCAGGGCAGTGGGGTTGGGGGAAGCCCTGGCCTTTCTCAGGCCCCTGTCCCCTGGTCCTCAAGGCGCTCACCTGGCCGGATATAGTGTCTGGCCTCGTGGGCACTGAGGGGCAGCACGGTGGGCAGCCCCGCCCGGGAGCGCACGGCCTCCATGTGCAGGAACCGGCTGGTGATGTAGATGTTGTCATGGCTGTCCAGGTTCAGGTAACAGTACCGGTAAAACAGGGCCCTGGCGGAGCAGGCACGAGGCTCCTCAGGCCCCCCCCCCCCCCCGATCTGACCCCACAGGGCACCACCCCCACACGGGAACCCCCGCCTCCCAGAATGCCAGGGGACCACCTAGCGCCGCAGCCCCCCAGCCCCTCACTGGAGGTAGAGAAGCACAAGCAGCAGCGGCGTGGCGTAGCCCATCAGGGCCAGGGCCTCGCGGGCGCGGTACAGCTTCATGCTGACAGCCTCGTAGAGGTCCAGGGCCACCTGGGACAGGCTCCGAGAGGCGTCGAGATCCACGGAGAAGTAGTGGGTGGCTGTCACGTTGAACTCAAACTCTTGACGCACCCGGTTAATCAACTTCTGCACAGCTGGGGCCCGCAGGTCGGGGGAGAGGTGAGCGAGGACAGTGAGGGGGAGACACAGCCTCACCTGAGGGAGGGGCCTGGCACAGCCCAGGGGCCCCCAGTGCCTGCACCCACGTGGACTGAGGAAGGGACAACGCCCCCACAAGCCGTGCTCTACAGGAAGTCAGGCTTTGGTGAGGCTCCTCCCCGTCGCGGGGCCTCAATTTCCTCATCTGCACAGCACAGATATTGCTCCGGGCAACCCACTGAGGTCCCTTCCTGCTCTCGCCTTCTCACCCAGGGGCTGGGAGCGTCCCAGGCTGGCGATGGCCACACTAGGATGGGGAGGGGGGAGAGCTCCCAGGAGCACCACAGGCAGCAGGGCTCGGAGGGGTCACTCACGGATGCCGATGGTCGTGCGCAGGAAGGGCTGGATGTACTTGGGGATGATGCAGAACACCTGGACCACTGAGAGCCAGGGGCTGAGTGTCAGGAGGGCAGAGAGATGGGGCCGGCCTCGCCAGCCTCCGGGGACCTGGTTCTCACAGGGTCCTCTTGACCTTTTGCTTGTCCGACTGGCCTCAAAACCTTTGGCTCAACACCTTCTGGCTTCTCCCTATCACCTCCCCCTCCCACGCTGGTTTCTCACCATCTTCCCTCTACCCGTGCTGGGCCAGCATCCTTATTGGCCCCACAGTCATCACCCCCTACCGGTCCCCTGGGCCTGCCCTCCAACTGACCCTGCCCCCAATTCGCAGTGCCCCCCCCCTCCCATCCCGCCCCTGAGCCCCTGGCTCTCTCACGGCTGGCAAGTCCACAGAGCATCAGCTTGAAGGGCATGAGCACGTAGCACAGGTGATAGGCGTGTGGGATGACCTTCATGCAGCTGTCCTTGGCGTCATCGAAGACCCGCGCACACTTCAGGTAAGGGTTGCCCAGCTCTGAGTTGCACACGTCTCCGATATGCAGGAGCCAGTACCACACGTTGCGCAGGGCCCTGGCTGTGGACAGCCGTGGGCTGGTACCCGAGGCCGGAGGCCGGCAGCGTCTTTCCAGGGGTTTGGGGAACCCCAGGAGAGCACGCAGAGCGGGGGAGGCCTGCGCTCAGGGGCCTGGCTGTGTGTCACTGGGGGCTCGTCGGCACCCAGGAAGGGCCCACGGGGTTCCGGACAAGGGTGAGGCGGAGGAGACGGGGTGAACTGTGATACCACCACCCCTTCCCAAAAACAGACATGCTAACGTGCTGACCTATATGCTTCACTCCATCCATGATGGACCGAAAGAACTTTCGGATCCGGTCAGCCACCTCTTTGGCCTTCTGGGCAATGGCCTTAATCTTGTTCAGGGCACCTGAAGGGCAGGGCAGGGGCACTGTGGAGTCTCTTCCTCTGGGGACTCCTTCTTCCCAAGCTGTCCCTGGAGGAGGGGGGAGGGGGGAAGGAGGTGGGGAGCCTGGCTGCTTGGGGCTGGGAGCAGCTGCCCTGGCAGTGGAGCAGCCAGAGAGCACGGATGAAGGGCCTGCCTGGCACAGGGAGGGGGGGCAGTGCCAGCAGAGGGCTGAGGCTGGAGGCCTTACTGACAAGGGGCTGCTTCGCTCGCTCCAGCAACGCAGCCGTCTGGTTCAGGGCCAGCTCCGCCCCGCAGGCCACGGCCTCGCTGGCTTGGGTGAAGTTGCGCAGAGTGTTGGCACAAGGCCCTTGCAGCACCAACCCAAAGACAGCCAACAGCAGCAGTGCCCGGCTCTGCTCTGGGGGTAGAGGGGGGGCAGCTCCATCAGAAGCAGGACCCCAGCCTTGCAGGTGGCAGCACATCCAATCCCTCCCAGAAGCCTTCAGAGTGTTTCCCTCCACCCCCCCCCCCAGGTCCCCCTGCCCAGCCCCTGTCCCAGGACCTGCCCTCCCACCGGGTGCCACGCTCACTGGAGAAGGCCTGGGGCAGCAGCAGGAGGACAGTGACCCGGACCTGCCGAGAGAACGCCATGCCCAGGCCGAGGAAGCCGGCCAAGGTCAGCGTGCCCACCAGGCAGCCCCAGGGGCTCTGCCCTTCCACCAGCAGCTCCAGGAGTCCATAGACCGTGGCCAAGGACAAGCCCAGGCTGAAGCCCCCCAGGCTGCGGAACTGGGCTCGTGGAGAGTCACGGAATTCCTCGCGTGTTCTGAGGTTCCGGGGCTGTCACTGTGGGTGTTGGGGTCTCTAATCCCCACGTCCCAGGGCAGAGGGGGGACTGGGAGACAGACCTCAGGCAGGTGTGGGGGAGGCCGAGGGGACGCGAGCAGAACCTCACACCCAGAGCATCCTTGAGGAGACCTCTGAGTGAGAGAGGGCTCCCCAGAGCGACATGGACACCGGAGTCCACCAGGACGGACCGGAAGGGCAGCGGAGGAGACAGCCCCACACCAGTGAGTCCGTCATCGGGCACCACCCCTCCTGGCGCCTCCAGCCCCCAATCCTCTCATCCAGTCTCTCCTCCAGGACCCCCTCCCCTGCGCTTTGGGGTCCCTACCCCTCTCACTCAGTGTCCCTCCTTCGGGCGAGCCCTTCCTTCTTTTTTTCCCCCTCATGTCTGTCCCACTTCCTTCAGGACCCCTCCAGTCCCTGCCACCCTCCTCCAGGCTCCCCCGGCCTCCAGCCCCCTGCAAGCCCTCACCCTAATGAACCGCATCCTGGTCAGAGCCAGGTGTTGGCTCTGATGGGCTCAACGCTTTGGCCCCTCAGCGGTGCAGAGGCTCCTGAGCTGGGCACTGCCCACCTGCTGTAGCCGATTCCTGTGGCGCCAGCCCGGCGAGTTTCCGGTCACCGCTGTCCTGCTGGGGGCAGGCACTGGGGGGCTCCTGGCCATAGGTGAGTGTGGAGCAGAGGGGAGGGGTGGGGCCCATCTTTTGATCTTGGTTTTGACTCTGTCCCCTCAGGTCTCTTTCAGCTCCTGGTGAGCCCTATGAACATCTATGAAGAACAGAAGATGATGATACTGTACGGCCTGGCGGGTTAGTGGGGGGCAAGGGCAGGGCGCCCAAGAGGCCTGGGGGACACGGCCCCGTCCGGGGTCCCCAGGAAGGAGTCTGAGCTTGTTTCTTCTGTACCCAAAGGCTGTGGCCTCAGCCTTGCCTTGGCCTTTGAGGGGAGACCCAGAGGGAGGAGGCCCCAGTCTGTAGGAGACACAGTCCTTTCCCTTTAGGGGTCTCCCCAATCGGAAAGACTCCCCATAACCCTCATGCTACAGTCCCAACCCCACGACCCTTCCTAAGCCCCATCTCTCCTCACCTCTCTGGCCTTGTGTCGTGCTCCTCTTGATAAGTTCAGGTCATTCATTCAGCACTAACTGTGCACCTGCTGAGAATTCAGCAATGAACAAGATTGGCAAGCAGCTTTTTCGGAGTTTACATTCTGGTGGAGAGAGTTAGGCATTAAATGGACAAGAAATAAGCAAGAGCATTTCTGATAGTGACAAATGGTGTGAAAAACAGTTCACCAGGCCCAGGTGTGGCTCGATGGATGAGTGTTGACCCATGAAAAGAGGTCGCCGGTTGGATTCCCTGTTAGGGCACATGCTCAGGTTTCGGACTCGATCCCCAGTAGGGGGTGTGCAGGAGGCAGCAGATCAATGTTTCTCTCTCATTGATGACACAGTCCTTTCCCTTTAGGGGTCTCCCCAATCGGAAGGACTCCCCATAACCCTCACTCATGCTACCCACCCCCCCGACCCTTCCTAAGTAAGCCCCATCTCTCCTCACCTCTCTGGCCTTGTGTCTTGCTCCTCTTGATAAGTTCAGGTCATTCATTCAGCACTAACTGTGCACCTGCTGAGAATTCAGCAATGAACAAGATTGGCAAGCAGCTTTTTCGGAGTTTACATTCTGGTGGAGAGAGTTAGGCATTAAATGGACAAGAAATAAGCAAGAGCATTTCTGATAGTGACAAATGGTGTGAAAAACAGTTCACCAGGCCCAGGTGTGGCTCGATGGGTGAGTGTTGACCCATGAAAAGAGGTCGCCGGTTGGATTCCCTGTTAGGGCACATGCTCAGGTTTCGGACTCGATCCCCAGTAGGGGGTGTGCAGGAGGCAGCAGATCAATGTTTCTCTCTCATTGATGTTTCTATCTCTCTATCTCTCTCCCTCCCTCTCTCTAAAATCAATTTTAAAACGCATATTTAAAAAAAACAAGTTAACCAGGGGAATATGATGGAAAGGGGCTGGGGAGCTACCCTAGCTTGAGTAGTCAGGGAAGGTTTCTCAGAGAAGGTGACATTGTAATATGAGGAGCTGTTGGGCTGTGAGGAAAGAAAGCCCACCTAAAAGTGGTTTAACCATAAATAAAGTTTATTACCTCATACTAGAGGCCCGGTGCACGAAATTTGTGCATGGATAGGGTCCCTAGGCCTGGCCGGCATCAGGGCCGATTGGGGCCTTCCAGCTGCCGGCTGTGGACCAGGGCCTTCCTTTGTTCCGCACCGCCCCCTGGTGGTCAGCGAGCAATCAAACTCCTGGTCTCTGGTCGAACTCCCGAGGGGGCACTTTGCATATTAGCCTTTTACATATATAGATAATAAGTTTCAAGTTAGAGTGGAATTTGGAGTTTGTATAATTCAGCAGCTTAGTAAACCCACCAAAGACCCAGATTCCTTTCATATCTCTCTTTTTTTTAATCCTCACCCAAGGATATTTTTCCATTAATTTGTAGAGAGAGTGGAAGAAAAGGGGGGGGCGGAGAGAGAGAGAGAGAGAAACATTGATGTGAGAGAGACACATCAGTTGGTTGCCTCTCACATGTGCTCCAACCAGGGGCTGGGGATCAAGCTTGCAACAGAGGTACATGCCCCTAAGAACAAGGAGAACTTTCCTGTAACCCCCCAGCCAGCTCCCCTCTCGTCTCATTGGTCAGCACTGAGCAGCACATGTCCTCTCTAAACCTGTCCCAGGCGAGGAGCAGGGAACTGGCATCCCCGCCAGTTTGCTGAATGAATGCCTCTCTATGGGACACCAACAGGAAGCTGCTTTTTCTCTAATCACTGCATTCAAACCTGTTCTGTTGCTGACGACCTTTCACAGAGACCCTTCGCTTTCCGGCTACTTTCATTTAGAAGCCCTAGTCCTGCTTCAGTAATTATGACTATTTTTAAGAGACCCATTCTGTCTACTATATCAACATTTCGATCTCAGTTCCTGCTCCAGCCTGCTCCCTCCTCCCCACCCTGCCTGCTCAGCTCAGGCCTGACCCCTGGTGGGGGTCCTGTAGTGGAGAAGGGGGCACGGCCAATCCTTGACTTTTTTTCTCCGCTTTCTTCCCCTCTGGTTGTTCTGATGTCAGAAAGGGATTACAGTGGTTCTCAACCTTCCTCATGCCGCGACCCTTTAATACAGTTCCTCACGTTGTGGTGACCCCCAACCATAAAATTATTTTCGTTGCTACTCCATAACTGTAATGTTGCTACTGTTATGAATCGTCATGTAAATATCTGATATGCAGGATGTATTTTCATTGTTACAAATTGAACATAATGAAAGCATAGTGATCAATCACAAAAACAATATGTAATTATATATGTGTTTCCCGATGGTCTCAGGCGACCCCTGTGAAAGGGTCGTTCGACCCCCAAAGGGGTCGCAACCCACAGGTTGAGAACCGCTGCCTTAGAGGAAAAGGGACAAAGGTCTGGAGTCACCGGGACTGTTATAATTCCTCTGTGTGACAGGCCCTCACGTTTATTGTCTCCTTGGAGGCTCTGAGTGGACCTTGCAGAGCCCAGGTCACCGCTGAGGGCAGTTCCACTTGGCTGACCTCGGGTGAAGCTGCCCACAGCTCCCGCGGGCGGCCCACAGCCTCCGCTTGTGATGCCTCCCACAGGCAGGCGCCCTTTCGGATGGGAGCCTCACAGGTGACTGGCGGCCTGCTCCCTCCCAGCACTGCCTCTTGTCCCAGAGGAAATGCCCACTGCGAGCCCTGCCAGACTGGGAAAGTAGGGCACCTTGCAGCGGCTCTCTCCTGCCATGGAGCGCGTGCCCCTCTCACTCCATGAACGCTCCCTGGGCTCTGGGCTCTGGGCTCTGGGCAGCCCAGGTTCTGCAGCTCAGCAGGAGGCTAGCCCCGGACAGATGACCAGGTTCCCCTTCTCGAAGCACCAGTCTCTACAGGGTTCCCTTGGAGCCTCTCACTCAACATGCGGAAGTGAATGCCCATTCTCTTCACAGACTCGCCTCCAATGTCTGCCTACTCCAACCGTTTCTCTCCACTTCCAGAAAATTCGCATTTCTGGTCTTGTCTTTATACAGGCTGGTTGGGGTGGAGGGGTGAGAGACTAGCTTTGCTCTTTGGAAGTCTAGAGAAGGGGTTGGCACCTCCATCGGGCTCTCTCTCTTTTTTAAATATTTATTATTGATTTCAGAGAGGAAGGGAGAGAGAGAGAGAGAGAGAGAGAGAGAGAGAGAGAGAGAGAGAGAAA